GAAACTGAACATCTGCTGGATGCTGATGGGGATTATTTAATCTGTCATTTTAAATTAAGCCTTCATTTCTGCACGTTTTGCTCCTATTAATTTAATGATAATATGGCGCATGCTCTCCTGGAGCTCCGAGGATCAGTCAGAGCGCAGCGATACGGAGGAACAGCGGAGGCTGGAGGCTTTGCTTTGAGCAGGAGGTCTGGAAGCTGCTGGGCGGAGCGCTGGGGGGCGGAGCGCTGGGGGGCGGAGCGCTGGGGGGCGGAGCGCTGGGGGGCGGAGCGCTGGAGCGGAGGAGGAGGGATTTCTGGGTAACAGGAGAAGCGGCGCAGTGACGTTTAGACTCTGATGTCAGACAACATGCGGTAATTTATCAATGTTTTAAATCAGGTTGGGTCCGGATTAGCCAGCAGGTGGATCCGGATCTGGACCACAGTCCGCTAATCCGTGACCTCTGCATTAAACCGAAGCCAAGAGTAACGGGAGGGGAACTAGATGGCGCTCCAACTGAGGACTCCATTGTTCTACTCGGGGACTTCAACGCACACGTGGGCAGCGACAGTAAAACTAACAACTTTTTAAAACGTAAGGATTACAAAGTGGAGATAATTACAAAAAAATGTAAGGAGTTGAAGTAAAAAGTTGTCTATAAAATAATAATCCCAGTAAAGAATAGAAGCCAATATTTCTAATTAGGTAAGTTAATAAAGTATTTGTACTTTGTTACGTGACACCTCTGCTTCCATGTGAAAGATTGCAGCTGCGTTGGGAACTAACAATCAGCAGCATTAGTTAATGATTTAAAGCCACAACAAACTGAACTTCATCAGGGATACCTGGGATGGATCAGGATAGACTGACCTTTCATCCTTTCATCGTTGCTCTGACTGCTGAGGTTCCTTCTTTTAAATCTGGAATATCACAGAAACTAGGAATGATCCGCCCAGAGGATGTGCTAGGCCCTAAAACCTTCAGATGATGTTCTGTGAATTAGTGGTTATAGAAAAATATTATTTGACTTAGATATAACCCAGATGGTCATTGTTGTTTATTTGACTCCTGCAGGACTTTTTTGGAACCCTGGAATTACGATCTGCTCATCTTCTCATGGACATTCTGGTTGCCAACTTCTCTGGAGAGCGTCAGAAGCTTCAGGTTCTGGATGTGGCCTGTGGCTCTGGAATGGTTGCTAAGCTGGTGAGATGGTTTCATCCACAGACGCTGAAGCTCTTACACACTTTTTTACATTTGTTTATGTTCCAACAACAAATTTATGGTATTTTATTGGGATTTGATGTGAGAGAGAAAAGCAAAATGGTGAAAAAAAAAATTATTTTCACAAAAAGCATCAATTCCATTTAAAATGTGGTCTGCAGCTGTAGTGAACCACCCTCACTCTGATACCCCAAAATAAAATCTCCAACACGGCTAGCAGAGTCCAGAGGTGGACAGTTTATCTTCACTACAGCTGCAGATGTTCTTCAGAGAACAGAGGAAATCAGCCGATGGAGGATGGATTCAGCTTAGAGCAGAGCTAGGATCTAAAATCATTCTCATCTCCCAGAGTTCTGATCAACGCATCATCTGTGGATGGAGGAGGAGGGGAACCAGCATCACACATCAGCATGCCGTCCCTCAGAATGATTCATGCTTTACCATGCTGTAGAACAGCTGGGCAGAGATTGTATGAAGATCTATGAAGAACCCCAGTTAGAGTCTGCAGAACAAAATCATTTCATTAAAAAAGATTTAAAAATATATGTATGTAGGGCGACCAGACGTCCGCTTTTTCCTGGACATGTCCTACTTTTCATACCTAAAAAATGTCCGGGGGGAATTTCAAATCGTCCGGGATGTTGGTCGCCTACAGAGCAGCAGAACCGAGCCGTCAGCTCCGCAGTGAAGTTGGGTTAGTGTTGGATGTCGGATATCCAAGCTCCGCAGAGTCAGCGGGATCCAGCAACCGGTTGATCCGACTGAGGGACTCTGATGTCGGCCAGCGTCTCTCAGCTGCTCCCTCCTCCCACACACCGTGGTGCATTCAGGGACCGTCAACAAATCTTTGAACCAAACACTCTTTAGAAACAAAAATTAATAATCTCCTTATTTTCTGACCAGCTAAGATCAAACTAATATAAAATCATGCTAATGGATAACATATGTAAGGCACATTTGCTTTTATGCAATTTGAAGCTATTTTCAATTTTTAAGATATTTTAACAGACAAAAGTTGAGACTTTTCTCCAATAGCTTCCAGGTCATGTGACCCACTGACTCAAATTCTTTGTGAAATGGTTTTACTACTTTAGCCTGATGAAGCTCACAGCCCAAATCTGTTCACCATATATATAAGTACAGTAAAAATGTCGCTGACCTGCAGAACGGTCCTTCCTGCTAGACTTGTACCTTCCAGGTTTAGCGCCCCCTGTAGGCCACTGGCAGCTCTGTCTCTAAATGACCCAGCCTGCCTCTGTGTTCTGGTTCTGGTATCAGACCAGTTTGGACCAGCAGGTCTAGAATCCCGACGTTCCTCTGGATGAAATCCTCCATCAGAGAACCAGAAACACCGCGGCTCAGAGCTAACAGCCGCTACCTAGATAGCTCTGGTGTTTAAGGGGGGTCAGATTGACAGGAAGCGGCGCTCCGGGTCACATGACCCATTCAGAGGCGGATCAGAACCTCTGAGGTCACTGAGGAGCATCGATATGCAGCAGGAGATGAAGGATCATTGGATGGAGCTCTAAGCTGAAAGTTTGAGTTCAGTATTTTAAAAGTAAAGCTTTAAGATAATAAAACGGTGTTTTTTATCCATCATTAAAGAAGTTAATTATTAACTTTTTCCTAGATTGATTTATCAAGCTTCCTTTTCCATGATGCTGCATTTCAGAGAACAAAGAAAGTCAGAACTTCACAGAGATTAACTCAGAAATGTCAGCTTCATTTCTCCATGGTTGGTTCTGAACCGGCCCTCTGATCAGGAGGTCATTCTGTCTCAGTATTCCAGGTGAGACGCAGCGTCATGCTGAAGGAAACCTAGACCTCCAGGACAGCCCTGGTCTCCAGTACTTTGGTCCTTGCAGGCAGAAGGAGACGGAGCGTCTGGAATCTTATTTCTACGTCCAGAGTTACATCAGCTTTTATTTCTCCTGTTGCATTCATGTCAGATGTTCGAGGCGGGATTCAGGAACTTTGTTGGAGTCGACTGCAGCCAGAAAATGCTGGATATTGCTGCAGAATCCGGACTCTACCAAGACCTCCATCTGGCCTTACTGGGAACAGAACCACTGCCTGTGCAGACTGGTGAGAACAACTCACACGTTACCCAGTGCAGACAGATACATGATGATGTTCCTGAAACTCCTCCTCCTCTCGTCTCCGGCCTTCAGCTTGGTTTGACCTGGTGACCCTCGCTGGAGGCCTCGGCGTTGGTTTCTGTCCAGTCAGTGTGGTCAGGGAGCTGTGGGCGGCTGCTAAACCAGGTAAGGGTCCATTTCCTGGTGTTGCACCGTATTTGCTCCCCCTGTTCGTTCCTTTAACCTCAGCAAAAGAAAAAGACGGTCAGTTCAGTGTTTCCTAAATGTCTGCATCCAGATCAGGGAACATCCTGGATTTTTTTATGATGAGAGATTTCCAAACATTTAATCCACGTGACTTCTAAGAATGTTCCTTCTTTGATCGACCGCTTCTTTTTCTGTTAAAGTTAAATAATGAAACGTTTTCCAGTCGGCCTGCTGTTCCTGCTGAGCCTCTGAGCCTTTCCTAAAGTCTTTTCTAGGTGACACTTTCTATAAACATGCTTTTACTGTGGCTTTATCCTGGACATTAATGGACCCACTTCTCTGAATAATGTTTCAGTAATTATACACGAAATACTATGAAGGTTTAACTTTCACAAAAACTGTAATTCTGTTTAATAAGTTTAGTTTTTATAAAATGAAATATTACAGATAAATTAAAGGAGTGAACAATGAAAGGTTTGGCTGTTATCAGTTGCTTTAAACAGCCCAGAGCTGATCTCTATTTATTCACTGGATTGCTGATTGGCCGAAAAAAGTGAAGCCACCGGCCGCCATCTTGGTACTCCCCACTCCCATGGAGAAACGCAATAAAAAAAGCCTCCCTGTGCAACATCTGGCTGCTAAAACCAGCAGCTTTCTGTCTGCAGGAAGACGTTCCACTGGTCATTTCCCAGTCAGTTGATGAACTAAGCAATAAATCCATCTATAGCCGGTGGATCTATAGTTTAGTCTGCAGACTAACATTAGTCTGCAGACTAACGTTAGTCTGGCTATCTGAGACTGACTGGAAGACATTGACTGAGTTAGACACTGACATTGGGTCTAAGGTTAGAAAATAGAAAGTAGAGGAAATAGAAAGAAATTCACTGAGAAATGTTTATGTAGGAATTTTGTTGTATTTCTCATTTGAAAACGTTAGGTGCTAAAATCCATTGGATGTTATATTGAAGGGAAAAAAAACAACTTGACATTTGACCCCTATACATATATATATATGTATACTTTTTTCTAGTTATCAGATATAATTACATATCATGTCATCAATCCATTTATATCAAATGTTCATCATCAATGTATCACTTTTGGCTCATCTATATTATTCTGCTCCATTAACGCATTAATTTTATTGCGATGAATTTGTATAATATGTTATATTAAATGATGTATTGACTTCATAATGACCATAAAATGTGATTGGCCTATTTTTTTATTCTAAGTTAAAGTTAATCTACTGATGCTATGAAACAGCCAGTCTGAGCAAAGTGATGAATTTATCTTTATTTTAAAAGTCTTAAGCCCTGAAAATTAGAACATCATCAATGTTTGATGATGCAACACACGGATTGTTTACATTCTGACCAGTCTAACTAGGGAGTACCAATATGGCGGCCTGTGGCTTGACTTCAACCCCGTACTACCAATGAACAATCAGCGATCCAGTGAATAAATGCAGATAGGCTAGCTTTGCACTTCCTGCAGTCGGTTTCCATGGTAACGGCTACATTATTTTGAGCCAGTTTATTGAGCGACATGTAGAGTCGCTGCAGCGCTGATCTGAAGGTTTGGCTGCTTTGAAACGCTCCCAGAGATTCCTCCTGTTTTCCATCACAGCCAGTAAAGAGCAGCAAGGTCAGAACCGACGGAGCCAAATCATGACTCAGCTGTTCTCCTCATGCAGGAGGCTTCATCTGTTTGGCCAGAGGGAACCACAGCAGCTCAGCAGAACAAGAGTTCAGGACTCATCTGGAGACGGAGCTGCAGCTGATGGAGGAGGACGGACTGTGGAGTCCGGTCGCCGTGAGACAGGAGGACAGATACATGCTGGACCCAAACCTGGAGACCAGCGGGGAGGGGGGGAAGGTGTACATCACTGGGACCTGCTACCTCTACAGGAAGTCCAGCAGCACAGAGGGAAACCAGCGTCCATTTAAAAAGATGTAAAGGTCTGGTTTCTAGAAAATATCATTCTAGAAGCAAATAAAGCTTTGCTGCTGCCTTCTGATCTTTCTGGTTATTTCTAAACCATCAGCTTCTGATTTTCTGTTTAATTAATCAATAAATGTGGGATCCATGTTAAAGGAGCAGCAGAGGCAGCCGCAGCTGGAGACGTCCTGACCAGGAATCCCAGACTGGATCCTGATATTCCTGCTCACACTTCCATCATGATGGAAGCTGGTGCCTTTCAAAATAAAAGATTAAATAAAAAATAAGATTAAAAAAAACTCCTGCCCAGCAGCTCCAGCTATGAGTCTCTCTGGAAGAGCAGCATAGATCAGCAGATACCAGAGCAGAGATGAAATGTCTCCTTCATAAGAAACGCTCTGCTATGTCCAGATGTGCTCAGGTTCTGGTTCTGCTCTGTCTGCCTGTTTCCTCCTTCCTCCTCTGTCCTGCAGAGATGATCAGATTCATTGAGCCTAATAATATTCCTGATGAAGGAGACCAGTTTTCCATTTCCAGGAATCAGGAATTTTTCATCTCTGCTGCTCCAGACCAGCGGTGCGACTTCCTGCTTTCCACTGGGAAGCGTTACATCCATGAAGCATCAGCAACGTATTTTATTATCTAATGATTTTTCTCTGTGACGTCACACATCTGATCTTTGAATGTTTGGAGATTTTTGGTAGTTGTTAGTTTAACTCAGCTTCTCTAAAGCCTTAAAGGAATAACATCGTCATCCTGATGGTTATTTGGCTGCTTTGAGTCTTTAATTCTGCTTTATTTTTTTTTTTTAATGTTTTTGGTTAATTTAAGATAATAAAAATAAAGTGAGATCAACCTTACATTCTACTCATGGGCATATAAGGACACTTCCTGATCATTATCTAACTGAGAGGCCACAAAGGGGGCGGAGCCTCCCCCACATAGAGGACCATTTCAGGAAGAGGAGAGGAAGCAGAGAGAGGTCTCACTCTGATTAGATTTCTGAAGACTTTCTCACTTTGGTACGGAAGAGGATTAGGGCCACTGAAAAAATAAAAAAAAGTTAACTGATTTTTATTATTTTATTTCAGTATAGTATGGGAAAAAAGGGTTAGGGTCAGAATTCTTTCTTTTTTCCCATGGTAAACTGAAATAAAATTTAAAAATCAGTTAACTTTTTTTTTTTCAGTGGCCCTAATCCTCTTCCGTAATTTGGAGACTGATTGGAGCTGAAGTTTTCCAGAGTGGGATGACATCACAGCCTACAACTAAACATGTGACCAATCTGCTCGACACACATGTCTAAACTGGTTCCTCCT